TTTAAGAATCCGCCTGCCAAATCCACCTGCCAATGCAGGGGACACGGGTTTGAGCCCTGGTCCGGGAAGATCCCACATGCCGCGGAGCAACTAAGCCCGTGCGCCACAACTACTGAGCCTGCACTCTAGAGCCTGCAAGCTGCAACTACCGAGCCCGCGTGCCTAGAGCCTGTGCTCCGCAGCAAGAGAAGCCACCACAGTAAGAAGCCGGCGCACCTCAACGCCCCTGCTCGCCGCAACTAGAGAAAGCCTGCAGGCAGCAATGAAGACCCAACGCAGCCAAAAATTAATTAATTAATTAAAAATAATAATAATCCGCCTGCCAGTGCAGGGGACACGGATTTGATCCTTGGTCCGGGAAGATCCCACATGCCACAGAGCAACTAAGCCCATGAACCACAACTCCTGAGCCCGCGTGCTGCAACTGCTGAAGCCCACGCGCCTAGAGCCCGTGCTCCACAACAAGAGAAGCTACCGCAATGAGAAGCCCGTGCACCGCAATGAAGAGTAGCCCCTGCTCGCCGCAACTAGAGAAAGCCCGCGTGCAGCAACGAAGACTCAACGCAGCCAAAAAAAAAAAAAAAAACGTGCAAGGACTTGAATAGACGTTTCTCCAAAGAAGATATACAAATGGACAGTAAGCACATGAAAACATGATTAACATCACTAATCATTAGGAAAATGCCAATCAAAACTGCAGTGAGATACCATTTAACACCCACGAGGATGGCTACCATCAAAAAAAAATAGCAAGTGTTGGTGAGGATATGGAGAAATTGGAACCCTTGTGCACTGCTGGTGGGAATGTAAAATGATGCTGCCACTATGGAAAACAGCATGGCAGTTCCTCAAAACACTAAAAATAGAGTTACCATACTTTGCACTTTTGGGAATATACCCAAAAGAATTGGAAGCAGAGACTTAAATAGATATTTATATATTCATATCACAGCAGCATTATTCACAATAGCCAAAAGGCAGAAATAGCCCAAGTGTCTATCAAGGCATGGATAGAACAAAATGTGGTATACCCCTATAATAGAATATTATCCAGTCTTAAAAAGGGAAGAAATTCTGACACATGCTACTACATGGCTGAACCTTAAGGACACTTACGCTGAGTGAAGTAATTCAGTCACGGAAGGACAAAAACTGCATGATTCCATTTATATCAGGTACCCAGAGTAGTCACATTCATAGAGACAGAAAGTAGAACGGTGGTGGCCAGGGGCTGAGAGGAAGAGGATGGGGAGGAAGTGTTTAATAGGGACAGATTGCCTGTTTGGCAAGATGAAACGAGTTCTGAGGATGGATGGTGGTTATGGTAGCACAACAATGTGAATGTACTTATGCCACTTAGAGCTGTACACTTAAAAATGATTAAGATGGTAAATTTTATTTTATGTATACTTCAGCACAGTTTGTTTTTTTTTTAATTTATTTATTTATTTTTGGCTGCGTTTATGTCTTCATTGCTGTGCGTGGGCTTTCTCTACTTGCAGCGAGCGGGGGCTACTCTTCGTTGCGGTGCGCAGGCTTCTCATTGCAGTGGCTTCTCTTGTTGTGGAGCAGGGGCTCTAGGCGCACGGGCTCAGTAGTTGTGGCACGCAGGCTCAGTAGTTGTGGCTCGCCGGCTCTAGAGCACAGGCTCAGTAGTTGTGGCACACGGGCTTAGTTGCTCTGCGGTATGTGGGATCTTCCCAGACAAGGGCTCGAACCCGTGTCCCCTGCGTTGGCAGGCGGATTCTTAACCACTGCGCCAGCAGGGAAGTCTCGGCACAGTTTTTTAAATAAATATTTTTTAAAATGTGATGCTCACTCATGGCTACTACATTTTTGGAATGGACTCCCAAAAGTTAAATTACATAAACAAAGGATCTTTACATATTGCCAAATTATTTTCCAAAAGGATCAGAATAATTTATAGATTTATTGGCAAGGTTACAACATGCCTTTACCAGTATTAATTATAATTTTTTAAATTATTGCTGATTTGATAGGTGAAGAAATACTTTTTTCATATAATTATTGAGCAGTTATAGTTCTTTTGTAAACTGAATCATTTGAACACTGAGGTCTCAGTGTTTTTCTAATTAGTCGCAGTATATTATTAAACTCTTGTAATTATAGCATTTATACTTCCTTTTGATTTTTGGAGGGAACATACAGAAATTTGTAAATTTTTTAATGTGAGGAATATCCCCTCATGGTTTGTCCAGTGTTTTTTAATCATCCTTTTCTGGCTTGAGAATTGATATACTCACTTCCCTTTTCTTCTCAAAGCTGTGGGGATTTGTGGGGGGTATGATTTGACTTTTTAAAAATTTAACTGTGTTTTTTTTTTTTATTTAACCCGTCTCAGATTTTATTTTGGTAAGACTTAAATTGACTTCTGCCCACATGTAGCCAACCAGTTGTCTGAATAATCCTCCCCTTTCCGTGGATTTGAGCTTCCTTCCTTATCCGAATATTACATTTGTACAACTACACTCACTGTTTTGGGAGCTGTTGCTGTCTGTTCCAAGACCTGTCTCTTAAGCCCACATCACACTGTCCTTAGTTCATAAGCTTTATAGTTGGTAGGACCAGCCTTTCTCATGAGAAGTGTTCTCATTCTTCATGCTTTTAATTTTTCCAAGTGAACTTGAGAATTATTTTGTCAGATACCCAGAAAAATAAGAAGACTCCTCTGAATTTTGAATGGAATTGCTTTAAAACTATAAATCAATTTGGGGAAGTATTAACATCAGCTTATTTATAGTATGTAAGCTTCCAGTCCCGAAACACACCTTATCTTTATTTGTTCAAGCCTTTTTTTTTTCCTCCATATTATTTATCTGCTTGTTTGCTTATATTTTAGAGTATGTTTCATCAGTGATTTCCAGATCACAGACTTTGAGTCCTTTAAAGAACTACTTTATATGCATAAGGCTTCACAACAGCATGGGGGAAAAAATCACTAATAAAGTTGAGATCCTTTGATCTGAGATCATTAGGGAAAATACATCAACAAGTGTCTTCACTTTTTCTTTGACTTTAACCTGTATATTTTATACAGAGTCTAGGAGTCTTTCTGTGTTATTTCTGCATTCCACTCAACAGCACAATCTTAGGACAGGCACATTTCCCCATCTCATCTCATATGAAGTATTAAACTGCTTGAGAACAGGTCCCTCTCTTTTTAAAGTAAGATCTGCAGTAAGCATCTGCTTCCTGACCCCTCACAAAGCCCCCTGCAAGCCTCAATCCTTAATGCTGAGTTCATCGGGCACCACTTCCTGGGTGAGGAGGTGATAGTTCTGGGAGAGCCATCCTTGCGCATCTGATGCACCCAGAGGGTCAGCAGCCAGAATCTCAATTCACAATACCTGACTCGGAACACAGGCTGTTCAGACAGCAGAGGAGTCAGGCAGGTGGGAGGCCCATCACATGACACCCACTCCCCATTGCTTGTTATAATTTAATTCATGGCCAGGTTTGGAATCCAGCAGCTTCCTTCAGCTCTGCAGAGGGGGGCAGGGGTAGGATTTGGTTTGCTTTCATTTATTTTCTTAATGGCTATCGAAACACATAGTAAAATCTACCTTCTTACTAATGTAGGGGAACTTAATAAGCACCCCCCAAACGATTGTAGCAGTTCATTTGCTCATTGAAATCTGTTGAGTGCCAGCCCACAGATGTACTGCTAACCCCAGTCCATTTCAGGTGTTTCTTACTGTTGTGAATTATGTTTAGAAACCAAAGGGCTTTTTGGTTCTTGTTCACAAGCTGGGAAAGGGGCGGGGGGTGGGGGCGGGGGGCGTTGTGTGAGAATTTATAGAAAGAGAAGACATGGTTTGGACAAACTTAGTTGTGTGTGTGTGAAGGAGTGAGTAATTTTTTTCAGTTCTGCCTGGCAAAGAGGTTTTTCTCCTAGCTTATTCATTTCCATTTGGAGCTAGTAATGGCACCCCCCCCCCCCCACCGGGCCAGGAGACTCCAATTCAGAAATGATGCCCTTCTTCAGCTTTTCACATTAACCGTTTTTGAAGATAGGAAAGTAAGATCTGAGTACTGGCTTTTCATACTATAGCCCCATTTAAAAAAAAGTGAAATATCTTTTTTTAATTAAAAAAACTTAATTTAAACAAAACGTAAAAAATTAAATGAAAGTGGTATGTTGACATCCTTAAGGTACAAAAATAAACACTTGCATTCTATTTTATGGCTTTAACTTTCACAGCCAGGTGGTATAAACAACTTTAACTTACAGCACTTTCTACCTATTAAATTTAAAGACGCTTTCATTTCTCATATAATTTTTTAACTGAATTTTTCCAATAAAAAAATTAGATCCCGAGAAAAACCAGGGTTTGAAGATTATTAATTCATAACTTGGTAGTAGGAAAGGCTGAACAAGAGTCCAAACTGATGAATTGGGATTGTGTAATATTTGGATAGACAATTTGCTTTAAAAAAAAAAAAAAAAAACTAGGTTGCCAAAATGCTAAATATGATACAGATATTTAAAGTAATTAGAATAGAAAATAGGAGGTGGCCAGGTGGGTATAAGGTACCAGTGAACTTGGGGTACCACTTAGAGAAATGCTAAAATTTAAAGTTCATGTAGACACACATGCACACTTTTTTTTTTTTTTTTGGTAGCTCTCTCAGAATCATGTTTATAGTCTGGCCAGGGTTGTGGCCTCAGTCCTGCCCCTTAAGAAATGGGATCTTTGCCTAAAAGTTATTGAGAAATGAAGACTGCAGAAAGCCAAAAAATGTCCAGGCTTTTCATGCACACTGACAGCCAAACAGAATGCTCTTTCCATTTGCAGTTTTTTTAGTGTCATTTTAAGTTGCAGCTCCCGGCCAATCAGCGAGCCCCGTGCCTGCTGACATCACGAACCAGCCAGTTCCCTCCAGCTGCAGAGAGCTTCAGTTTGTCTTTTTTTTTTAAACTAAAATGGAGGCTGGTTTCTTGCCTTAAGGAGTACATTGCCTTTCCCGCTGAAGTCTAGATGTTGACATGTAATAAAGCGGGCAGCAGGATGGTGGTGGATGCGGCCAACTCCAATGGGCCTTTCCAGCCCGTGGCCCTTCTCCATATTCGAGGTAAGTTATTGTGTGTTTCACTGAAACGGAACCTTCTGTGGTTAGTTAATAAATGGCTATTGTGCTTCAGATAAGAAAAGCAGGAAGTCCTTTCTAGCAGAATTCACCCCGTTTTGCGGCAGACCTAACCAGAGGAGGCTGGGTGTGTCACTGCAATTTGGCATTTTACGAACTACTTACAGAATTTGAGTCTTGAGAGAGGCCTTGCATGCATAGTTCAAAGCTGGTTTTTCTGCTTTCTGCTCGCTCTCCCATCCCCCTTTCAGAGCCGTGCTGATGTCAAAGGATGTGAAGTCACTGCCCGGGGAAGGCATTGGGCGGGGGGTAGGAAGGAGCGGCGGGCGGCACGCCTGGCCAAGTTGTCCGTGCGCAGAGTTTCTGTGACATCTGTGTTGTTTAACACCCCGAAGGTTTCACCGGGACACACCTCTGAATTAACGATGAATTGCAGTCAGAAAATATGCAGAAATGATTAGAAAAGAACTTCTTTAAAAGGATTGTTTTCGTTCTTGCCCTGGAGCCTAAAAGAGAAATAAATAGACTCGTGCTTTGAAATATTGGAATCCATCGTGGGTCATAATTTCTGAGCTGTTAGCGTTTTTATTGAATAGTAGGAGATACTTTGCACTTAAATAGGCTTTGTATTGACATTTGCCTTTAAAATTTTAAATGGCAACAAGTTTTCGATGAGTGTATAGATCACTTTTAATAATTACAGTTTGCCACTTGTAGTTTATACAGAATTGGAGTTCAGAATTTAGCTTAAAACACAATTAGCATAGTAATTAATAATTATATTAAAATATAGTTATCAGGATAATCATATACTTTTTCTTAGCATTTAAAAGTATTTGTTATACAAATTTTTTGTTCGTAATTGGGTGAAGTAGAAAATGAATGTTAAGCTTCATCATATCACTTTAAAATTTATACAATATCACAGCTCTGTCCCTAACAGAACAGTTCTGTCAGAATCTCCTTTAAGGACCCATGTCAAGGAAGGGTGGGGGCAGGATCTCTAGGTGACTAATAGTCTGTATGACTAAAATACCAGACAAGATTTTTCAGATCCTAGGGTGTTTGCAGATAAAGGAGATAAAACCACATGAATACCCAGTCTGTTGGAATAAAATGGGTGTTGCTTTTCTCTCCAAACCCTCTTGAAAGAAGCTGGTGGAAATTAACGTCCACAATGACCAACCTGTAGGTCACATTGTTTTGTAGTGCACCCAGGAAAGAGCAAATATTGACCACAGATGGCACTCAGGTATTTTAGTTGCAGGAGCCAAATGGGCAAAAACAAAATGTAATTGTGTTTCGATTTAAGTTCTTAAATGGTGACTGACTAGCAAAAAGAAAATTTTACAGCATATAAAATGTGTATTTTGATACTTTTAAGGTATCTTCTTATAAATAACAGATTGTTTTAGTTTTAGTTTTCTGATTTCATTAAACACTTAATGTACTAGTCATTTTTTGAACTATGACTTTATTCTGAAATGGAATTGTTTGATTTTATATCTTATACCACATTGTTGTTGTTGTTGTTTTTAATTCCAAGACTTTACTGTGACCAGTTTGAATTTTTTTGCTGTTGGTTGAGTGGTTGGTTGCTGTCTGATTGTGAAGGGAAAAAGTAGTGAAGTGTATTAACCTAAAAGAGACTTGAGATTTTAAGAAGGGGTAACCTTTAGGGCCTAAAACTAACTTCTGGGTCAAACAGTGAACTAGCTAAAACTTGAACGCTTGATTTACTCATAAGGACTTTTTAGAGCAAGCATGTTAATGTGTGGTTTAGCAAAATTTATTTTGTTTATATTGGCTTTTAGAGTCTTGATCAATTTAATATCCACTATGGCATCTCCTCTGTATGTCCAGTGCTGAGGGTCCCCACCCCAGAGGAGTGGATGCTTTAGTGGGAGACCCACACAGGGGCCCTGGTGCAGGAGGGGCACAGGAAGAGCTGACTCTGGGCAGGTGCTAGGAGAGAGAGCAGGGGCTGATGTAATCATGATGCTGGGAAGGGGAGGGGGCAACACTGAGGCTTATCACTGTCTCAGGGTGCATTTAGCGAAGAAAGATCTTCCGCACGGAGGTAAAATAACCAGCCCAAGGTCACTCAACCTATAAGTGGTAGGGCCAGAATCCAAAGCAAGGCAGTTGTTTTGTTTTGTTTGGAATCTTTAAAAAAAAAATTTTTTTGTTTGTTTTATTTTAAAAATAGAAATTTTGGCTGTTTGTAGAACCTTTTGCCACAGGATTATAGTAGCAGGTTTTTCCCCAATGTCTTATCAACATCCATCCGTTTCAGTGGCCTCTGGTATATGACAGTTTTTTGTGCCTAGGGTTCATTTCTTCATTCATTTTACAAATATTTGTCAAGTCGCTACCACCACGTGCCAAGCAGGTTCCTAATTCGGAATATGAAGCAAGCACTGTGGCCCAGCTTTCAGAGTTTACAGTCCCCTGGGTGGTGGGGCAGTCAAGTAAACAAATCAATCAATACGATCACTAAACTGATTAGTAGTCCCAGTTGATTTGATATTTATCTCCTATTACATAGTCTAGAGTTTGCAGTTAATATAGTGAATTAGCATATCCTAAAAAGTCCAAGTGTGACAGGAACATGTTGCTGAAAAGTCTAAACTTTTCTGTCTGTAGAAGGAGAAGGCGTCACCTGGAGGAACTTGATGGCTGTAAATTTAGCTTGATGACTTAAATCCTGTACTTCCAGGGCTGTCCGAGAGAACTGTCTGCGATGGTGGGAATGTTCTCTGTGCTGTCCACTGTGGTGGCCCCTGGTCACATGTGACTGTTGAGCCCTTAAAATGTGGCTACTGCAACTGAGAAACTGAACTTTTAATTTTATTTCATTTTAGTTATTTTAAATTTAAATAGACATGTGTCTAGTGGCTGCTGTATTGGACAGCACAGTTCTAGACTGGGATCGAGAGACTTTTTCAGAAAAGGCTGGAAAGTAAATCTTTTTGGCTGAGAAAGCAGCCATAGATAGGCATGACTGTGTTCGAGTAAAGCTTTATTTACAAAAACAGGTGGCTGGCCGGATTTGGCCCGTGGGACATAGTTTGCCCACCTCTGTTCTAGACTGTTCCTTGAATTTTAATTGCCTGTTAAGTATAGTAAAATATATTTCACTTCCAGAGCCAGGTTTAAGGCAAGAATAGCCAAGCCAAAAAAGATGTTAATGGCCAGAGAGGAAGAGAGCGACCTCCATCCTATGCCAGCTGGCTTTTATTCTGGCCTCAAGAAAGTTGTTAACTGCTCCAATCTTGTAGTCGGTTGATGAGTCCTGTCTCTGAAAGACTGAGGAGTAACCTCGGCCTGGTGGGGAGCTGGAGAGCAAATTATTCTCTGTGTAAACCCATTTTTCCTGGGGGATGGAAGTCTGATTATAGAAGAGTTTGTTTTCTCACAAGTATTCCTGAGTCACCAATTCAATGAACGTCTTTACCTTTCCAAAAAAATTTAGAAAAGAACGAGCAGGGGGCAGTGTAGGGTGTCAAACCCGAAGGCTTCCTTTCCCGCTGCAGCTCGTCTGATGACTTAGCCAGCGCTGCTAAGCACACCTGTGCACGTGCACGTGGGTTCCCAGGTGTGGGACACTCCTGCGTGATTAAAGTCAGTGAATGTTGTGAGGATGGATGCCTAGCACTGTCCTCATTCCCAGAACTAGGAAGGAAAAATGTCATTGACGACCAAAAACAAAGACCCCTCAAGAGATCAAACCAGTGATTCTTTCTCTCCGAATAGTGTATCAGCCCAGCTGAAGGTGTTTACTTCACTAACATCTGTGTGTTGTGTAGCTGTCACTGTCTATGAGGTGGCTTTTTAGAAGTACACCTTTAAAGCGACCTGGAATGAGCCTTTGTGAGGTTGTTTTCTCTTGTCATTCCTGCCAGTGAGGAAGGAAACCAGAGTAACATAACTCTCTGGGGGGTGCATGTCTGTGTTAAAGCCCGTACAACTTTTGTTAATTAGTCTTCCCTGAACTGATCATGACTCCTGCCTTGCAGCAAAAGCTAAACTCCTAGAATGTTTTCATTAAAAGATGTTAATTGTGTGGAAGAATGAGACAAAAGTAAAGAAGCAAGGTTAGTAGTCAAGAAACGGGCGTGTGTTTTTGAATCTGGGAAAGGACCGTGTCTTTGAAGGCACAGGGGTTTGGGGTATACCCTACTCCGTTTCCATACATCAGGTAGCACTGCAAGGTGGGTCTCCTCCTATGCGATGGCGACCTGCCAGATGTGATGCACTTTTGTGAACACTGCCCGACTTGTTCCTCCCAGCATTCCTGGCCAGGCGGT